CTGCGCTGCCCCCTCTACAGAGGCACCCTGGTGCCCCGGCTGGCGGACCACCGCACACACATCAAGCGGGGCAGCACCTACTCCCTGCACGTGCAGAGCGTGCTCACGCAGCTCTGTGCCAAGGCCTTCCTCTATGCCTTCTGCCGCCACCTGCACCTGCCTGCCCGCGGCACGGAAGCTGAGGGGTTGGCTGCCAGCCACCAGGCCAGCTTCTTGCAGCTGAACCTGGGGCTGGTGAACGAAGACGTCAAGGTGGTCCAGTACCTGGCAGAGCTGCTGAAGCTACACTACACACGGGAGCCTTCTGCAGCCGGCCAACCCGTGCTCAGGTTCGACTACGTCCCCAGTTTCCTATACAAGATCTGAGGTCAGGCCCGGCCACTGTGACCAAGACCTGTGACTCGGTACGGGGAGGGCGTTGGCATGACCTGGGGGTCTTCTCAGCTGTTTAGACTTCTGGTGTCGTTGGCAGGAAGGAAACCGAGGTGGCAGCCATGGTTCCCAGGTGGCTCTGGGCAAGGGTGGTGGGGGCACTGACCCCCTGGCGGCATCTGGAAGGACGGTAACAGCTCGCGGCCCCTTGGAGAGTGGCCCGGGGGCCAGGGCAGAAGAATGCTTCGGCACTGTGATGAGGGGCAGGGAGGCGGAGCCTGCAGGGAGGACCACGCCAGCCCTCTTGCGCAGCAACATCAAGGGGAGCAGCCATCAACTGGATGATTTGGTCGAAAGCAGGACGATGGAACCTCCATTGCCTAGTGCAGACCCCAGCCGGGCCTTTTGCGTGCCCTCACGGAGCCGCCCTCCCAGGGGAGGCCCCTGGCTGCTCCCTGCCCTGTCCTCACGTCCTCGCCAGGCACGGAGGGGCCTGCCGCTGGGCTCCGAGGCTCAGCGGAGTGACCAGTCACTGGCCCCTGGTCATCAGAACCGCTGTCGTGGGGGCCTGGGCACAGCTGTCCTGGGGGCGCCGACACTGTCCCCTCGGGGAGGGTCTGCAGGTGGGCTGGCGCTCGCCCAGCAGAGGTCACCGCAGACCGTCGCTACCACCTCACTACCTCACGGGGTGTCGCGGGCGCGGGGCAGCCAGCGGGCTGGGATCTCCTCTGGGAATGCCGTGCCGGCCTAGAGCGCACGCACTCGCAGCAGCTCGTTCCGCCCCAGCTGAGTCCCAGCCCCACTTCCTGTTCACCCACCAGGACCCTCCTGACACAGTTACCACTGGTGTGTGTAGGTGGATGGTTTTTTGCAACCTGGAAAATGTCATACTTTTCTTCCTTAAGCTGTTTGTCCCTAAGCAGGGAGAACTGTTGGTATCACTGCTTCTTAATGTTTTTCCCCAAGTTGTGGTAAAACACACCTGAACCAGCCACAGTGGTTGCTCCTGAGCACGCGTGTGTGTCGTCAAGAGTCCTGCTGTTGAGACCTGGTCCGCCACCAGCTTCGCAGCACACCACAGCAGTCAGGACCCCCTGGTGACCAAGGAGGCTTCGTATCATCTCTTTCCCGTGGCCCTCCCTGCCCAGGCTTCTGGTCAGGGTCCCCATTCCTGCCAGAGTGTGATTCTGCTCCAGAGGCCGTGACCAAGGCCCACTGTGACAGGGCTGCCACTGCATCTCTTCTGGTCCTCGCACCTGTGCCGTCACCTGTGTCCCCTAGAGAGGCGTCTCCAGGGACCACATGGCAGCTTCCGAACGTGCAGTGTGGGTGCTGGTGGGAAGGCTGCCCTCCTGTTACCACCGCCCCCCTTGTGTTCAGATGCTGCTTTGTTTTCTAGGTAGGTGGCCAACTGCATCTACTTGGGCCTCCTGGGACACGACGAGCTTGTGACACCTTGTCTCCGAGGGAAGAG